CTTCCCGTCTCCTACAGCCGAGGACAGTTACCCGTGAGTGGCGATGAGCGACTGTATAGCTGGCCTGGGAGCCGGTCGGGAAGCGCGAACCAGTAGGAGATGGACGTGGCCGGGACCGTGGGAGGAGCTGAGACCGCGGCCCCTCCTCCTCTCCGCAGGGCTGGTGTACCCGGAGTGGGCCTACAAGCCCGACTGGACCCCCGGCTCCCGGCAGATCCAGCTGTGGCACTTCATCCTGGAGCTGCTGGCCCGCGACGACCTGGGCGCCGTGATCGGCTGGCAGGGCGAGTGGGGGGAGTTCGTCATCCGGGACCCCGAGGAGGTGGCGCGGCTGTGGGGCGCGCGGAAGGGCAAGCCGCACATGAACTACGACAAGCTGAGCCGGGCGCTGCGGTGAGGCGGCTGCCCACTGGGGGGCGCTCCCGTCCTTCCAGCCACTAATTTGTTTATTCAGTACAGGGCTGCATGATTCACTGTGACTGTTTTCACAAATCCACCCACCCATCCATTCATCCATTCATCCATCGATTCATTCATTCATTCATTCATCCATCCACCCATCCATTCATCCATCCATCCATCCATCCATCGATTTATTCATCCATTCATCCATCCATTTACCATCCATCCATTGATTTATTCATCCATCCATCCATCCACCCATCCATTCATCCATCCATTGATTTATTCATTCATCCATCCATCCATCCATCCATCCACCCATCCATTCATCCATCCACCCATCCATCGATTTATTCATTCATCCATTCATCCATCCATTTACCATCCATCCATTGATTTATTCATCCATCCATCCATCCATCCACCCATCCATTCATCCATTCATCCATCCATTTACCATCCATCCATCCATCCACCCATCCATTCATCCATCCATCTATTTATTCATCCATCCATCCATCTACCCACCATCTATTCATTCAATCCATTGATTTATTCATTCATCATTCACCCACCCATTCATCCATTCATCCATCCACCCATTCAACCATTTACACATTCATCCATCCATTCCTCTATCTTTTCATTCATCCATCCACCCATCCATTCATCCATTCATCCAATCCATCCATCCTGGGAAGGTTTTGAGAGCACTCCCAGCAGTCTACAAACTATTCTTGCCACAATATTTCTGTTCTCTGTTGCAACTTTGTGCTGGCTGTTGCTAGACCTTTATTTTGAGATTTGGGAACACGCTCTGAATTTTTCTAAAGGGGTGTGTGGGTGGAATAGCTTGGATCTTCGTCCAAAGCCAAAGGACGGGAGTTTTATTTCCTTCTTTCTCTTCTAGGTACTATTACAACAAACGCATCCTTCACAAAACCAAAGGCAAGCGTTTCACGTACAAGTTCAACTTCACCAAGCTGATCCTGGTCAACTATCCGGGCTGGGACCTCAGCGCTCTGTCCAGAAGCTCGAGTGGGAGCAGCGCCTACCAGGTTCAGTCCAGCCTGCGAAACCAAGTGAGTTTTTCATGTCTCAGCGCCCACTCGCTGCCTGAAACTGGGGGCTCCCCAGCTCCCCAGAACTGCAGGCCCACCATACATATTGCCTGAGGCACTCCCACTGACACATAGATGCACATTTAACTCTGCGTTTCACATGGGGCGACAGAGAAAACAGCTTTGACTGGGGAACCTCCTGGGTGGTTTCTAAGAATCCATCCGGGGGTCCCCCCAAATCTCCAGATCAAGAACCATTGGCCGAGAGCAGGGGTTCCCAAACCTTTGTGTCAGCCGAACCCCTTCAACCTAAATAATTTGCCTCGAGTACCCCCTTGGGATTTTAACTAAATCAGACTTTTCAAGAAATGTAGATAAATGCTACAGCAACCCTCTTAACATGCTTCTGTTCACTTTGTAAAATATTAATACTGTATTACTACTGTTGTTTTTCTTATTCTCATTATTACATTATTACATGGTCCTATCCTTTATTGGAGCACTGTAGACTCAGCCAGTTATTTATTAATAGGACTATTTAACCTGACACTGACGTTTCCATCACAATCTCAAAAATCCCTGATGGAGAACCCCTGGCCTAGAGCACTGCAGTAATGGAGAGCACTCTCTGCTTAGATATGTCAAAGTCCTTGTGAAGAATGAGCAATGGTCCTATCCTTTATTGGAGCACTGTAGACTCAGCCAAACACCTGGTCCTTCACACACAGGAAAGCCCAATGTGCACTCTGACTTCTGATACAGGGAGTCATACAAAGCTCCAGCAGTTCAGTTATGCTTCCTTGATGACAGAGCCATAGACACATAGTCACTACAAACACCATAAGAATGCAGTGGTTGCACGCTCAGGCCAGGAGCTCTTAAGTTGGGAAAGCTGCCCTGCTTGTGACCCGTCCTGTCACGCCCTGTACTCCTAGAGGGCGCTCTACTTCTGTCCTGTTCCTAGTTCCCTGTGATTATTCATGT